CGAACTTTCAACACGATTATTCTTGCTGCCACTCAGTGTTGATGTTTCACGTAAGTGTGCTAACGCCAACATCTTCTTTGGTAGCCACTGCAGCCATAGGTGTGTGCCAGCAGCGCGATCCATAGCGCTGACTAGGATTACGCACTAACTGGTCCTGAAAGACTGTTAGAAGATTAAATGTAACCTATCATCACCTTGTTTTGATAATTCGATTTGAGCCCGATTGCACGAGGGGACCACGAGTCCAAGACATAATGACCTTGAATAACATGGCTTTCTGCCCTCCTCCTGAATGTTCCGCTTGCGCGAAAAGCACAAAGACGGATGTTACCAGTGACGTGAATCGTCTGCATGGCTGACATTTCACAACTAGCACAGCCAAGTACAAATGTTTCTTTCATGGAAGTGTCTCACACTGTATTCTAAAGCTGTATGAATATTCACACAGCATCTTCTTTACCGTTTTGCCTTGTCCGTGAGAAAAAGCGGGCCATCCGCGCCCAGAATTATCATTTACTAGCGACCGAAACAGACGGCACCTGTAAAATGCGTATTCGTCTGTGCGAAATAAATTTACCTTTGCCACCCACATTGTAAGCAGAGCCGATATAAATAACTTCATCATACTGATGGTACAGCAAAACATGAAGATACAAGGTGGGATAAGTGCGACCCATTCGGCCGGAATGCGGGTTTCGATATCCCCGTGATTCTACAGACTTCTCTAGTTTCGTAAGAACAGCTGAAGCGTAATGTATCCCTGCCAGACACCTCACTATAAACTACAGCTTACTTGTGATCATTAGGCTCCTTAGGCTGTGAATATCGAAACCGGTTACAACCTTTTCAAATTCATCCTCCACCAGCTCGATCACTTCTTCAGCCTCGGTTGGTCATTGGATGGAAGAACGCGCATTTGCCCTGTCTTTGATCCCGAGCCCTCTGAAAAAGGGTCCGCCCGCATGAATCTAACATCACGTGTGCAATTGGGAACAGTGTTAGCTTCCCTCAAAGCAAACGCAGCTCCGCTGTAATAGAAATGGAAACTCGATTGGCAACCCGTGTACTTACAACCACTAAAGTAGTGAGCAAATCACTTTGCGGACAAGATTGAAAGCCCACGCTTTTGGATTGCTTTTTATATCAATAGGTACAACGGGAAACAACAAAGTAAGATCATAAATCTGGAGCTGAGTGGTCCCGCCTGAGAGTTTTAACCTTGTAGTGTGTTCACATGTACTAAGACGCACACTTTTCGCAAGTTTTTAAGCTCACCAGCGACCTGCGTGTTCGGGTACAAACAGTGGTTATCACCAACATTCCTTGATGCGATTTCAATTGGAGCCACGGATTTTGGGGGCCATGTGGTGTGCTACGAACTGTAATCTGCTTTTTCTTTCCTCACCTCTAGGCGGCAAGAAACGGTAGTCCGCAAATTTTAAGTAGATGTCGGCATGATCTGGGGTGATAATTCGCATATCAGATGACAAAGAGAGGTACAGGAGAATGACAAGAGGAGTTACGTACCTTAGAATTTGAGGAAGCACTATTCAAAACTGGAGCAGACAAGGAATAGGGAGCTGCATGGTTTGGTGTTGTGCCTACGGGTACGGATGGGAACTTCTCTCCCCCGAAGTGTACTTGTCTGACATGAAATTTCATCGATACCACTCGCGCTTTTCTGTTTTCCACCCTCAACAGAAACTTACTGAGAGCATCTTAAATTCAATTTCGATCAAGAAATACAAACTCACTGAAGCATCTGATCCGTGATATAAGGGATGGCTGAGGAAAGCTTTCAAGGTTGGCTATCCTAAACGTTTCTCGGTTCTCTGAATATTTTAATGGTTAACTCGACTGCTTATCGGTTCTCTTCAAAGGTCTAAGTGTGAGGCTACTTCCCCCCGGGTTGATGGTGTGAGCGGTAGTTATACGGTGATCATAGTAGCGATGGGCAGTGGCTGGCAGTGGAATTCAGGATGCTCATTTCGTCCTACTTGGGGCTCGTCAGCTGGATGTGCCTGCCTCCCACTGAGTCATGTTGTTCCTACCGGTACTCGGACTCCAGAGCGACAGCTTCAAACGCGAGAGCGCTATCCGCTACAACACGATCCACGGTGGCCGCTTCTCGTGCGATGGGTATAGGCTCAGTGTTACTGCTTAAGTCATACCATACCATATCATTGTACTGTACCCGTCACACGAAAGGTGGCTATCTTGACTCGGTGGCGTAGCCGATAAAGCTCTCGCGTTCGAGGCGATCGCCCTCCAGTCCGAGTCCCGGTGGGAACAATGTTACTCACTGGGAGGCAGGTACATCCAGCTGACGAGCCCCAAGTAAGACGAAATGAGCATCCTGGATTCAACTGCTAGCCACCGCCCATCGGGTGCATAATGGCCTTCTGTGAAAAATGGCTATCAGAGAACATAAAAGACGGGGAAATTCGTCCGGGACGGCTCAGCCCAATCCTAAAATAGAGACCGGAGGGTCCAGGAGGTGGCGCTGCTCTTTACACCCGCCCTTCCTTAAAAGTCCATGAGATTCAATCTCACAGAATTGGCACTAAAGATTTCCTCTGCTGTAGTATTAAGTGCTGCGGAGGTCCGTGTTTAGTCGGAGTCTTATACCGCCCTCCTGCAGCTGATGACGCGTTAAATAAAATGTTGATACAATTTATTAGAGGAGCCCCGGAACTGAACTTCCCGCAGGTCCTCAGTATGTAAGATTTTAACTTTCCTCAACTCTTTACCACAGAAAGTACATCTACTGCTCTAAAAGACTTTCGGGAATTGTTAGCGGAAAAATCCTTGACGGAACATGTCTCCGAGTGTACTCGCTGGGAGCCTGACGGTAAGGCATCCGACTAGACTATATTTTCACAAATCAGTTCATTGGAGCAAGCGACACCAAAGTTTTCAGTCCTCTTGGCCTGAGTGACCTTGCAGTTATCTCCTTCAACATTTCTATATCTAAGCCACCCGTTCCCGGCCAGCCTCTAGCTAGGAATTACAAGAGAACTGATTTCGAGAAGGTTCGGCAAGATCTAGAAGGTTCCGCCTGCTAAAATTGCGATGACCCACCAGATCTTGATACCAGATGGGATCTGTTGAAGAATATAATCCTTCAGACGATAAAAGACAACGCTCCTCTGATTCCAAGAGGAACCAACAAGTTCTGCTTCCCCTGGCTTAAGTCAAGCACGCGCAAACTAATATGGCGTAAACGGTCGTCTTGGAATCCATGGAGGTGCACTAATAGCCCTCCTGACCAGCTAAATTATAAAGATATCCGTAACAAACGTACAGTAAGGATCAGAAATGACAGAATAAACCACCAGACACAACTTTGTAGAACCCTGGGGGGAGATCATGGGATGCTGTACTCGTTGATGAAATAGAAGAGTAACAGTTCACTAAGTTTACAGGACCCCATTAGTTTGGAGATCCTCTATTCCAACTCCGAAGTTGCAAACCCGCTAGCTTGTGAATTCCAAAACAACCTCTGTCATTTGGGAGGCAAGACCCCGCGTCCGTCGGACACCCGCATTACAGAGGGACTAAACCATATCGAGTTTAAACTCTTTGTAATTATGGGGATATTAAAGCAACTGAACCCGAATAAGTATTCAGGAATCGATGGGACTCACCCATGAGTGTGCCGGAGTCCTGTGCGCCCAGTAGCAAACCTCTTCAAATGCTCGTTTCTGGAAAGTAGGTTACCCTCTGATTGGAAACGGGTGACTGTCGCCCCAATTTATAAAGGTGGAAACAAACTACTCGCCTCCAACTACAGACCCATCTTGATCTTTTCAGTTTCGAAGGTCATGGAGAGAGTCAATGATGACTTACCTCGTGATCATTTACTTCAAAAATCAATCCTAAACGACTGTCAGCATGGCTTCCTACCAGGAATGTCATGTAACACCAACTTGTTGATAGCTTAGAATAGCTGGAGGCTCTCTGCTGAGGAGAAAGAGCCCATACACATTGGTTTACTTGACTTTTCTAAGGCCTTTGACAGGGTAAATCGTGATATCCTTTGTAAGAAACTCCAGCTCATGGGCGTACACGGAAAATTATTAATTTCGCTCAGAGATTATCTGCACACCAGGGTGCAGTCAGTCAGAGTTGGCTCCTCTCTATCTTATTGGTTCCCGACGCTGAGTGGTGTGCCCCAAGGTTCCATACTGGGCCCACTACTGTTTCTTGCCCTAATCAATGACCTACCAGGGGTCCTTAATTCAAGTTCTCTATTATATGCCGAAGATCTGAAGGTTTGAAGGGGAATATATGAGCGAACGAATATTTCGATCCTCCTGGAGGACCTTACGAAAATCCTTAATTGGATTACAGAAAACCTGCATCCTTTCAACTCGAAGAAGCGTCGAATTATGATGGTTGACAAACATAAAGGCAGTCCCAGTTCTTACTCTCTGGGTGAAATAAATATCTGTCACTCTAACATGAAACAAGATCTGGGAGTTACACTAAACGATACGCTTCGAGCCTCAGTTCACCGTTGACTTGCAGCCATTAGGGCTTACGGAATCCTGGGGTTTCTCTCGAGAACCTTGGGGTATCTAACTCCTTCTCTTTTCCCCACAGTGTATGCTCTGCATATTCGCCCTCTTCCAGAAAAAAATTCGCTTGTAGTGTCCCCATACTTGAATAGGGACATTGCCATCCTAGAACGGGTACAAAGAAGAGCTACAAAGAAAGTGGCTGGGCTACGACACAAACCGTACCCAGACCGCCTAGTTGCTCTTCAGCTGCACCCAGTACAATACCGGAGGATCAGAGGGGATATGATCATGATGTACCACATCGCCCACAATCCCCCCCATCCTAACAGATCCCTTCTAAGATTTAGTCGGAAACGCAACCTATGGGGTCACCCGTTAAGAATAGAGCATGAGAGAGCACGTACAAAGATCCTTGTTAGAGTCTGTAAACTGTGGAATTCCCTCCCTTCAGCATTTGTTACAGCCCCATCCCCTGACACTTTTAAAAGGAGGCTAGACGCACATCTCGAGTTCTACGGTACCGAAGGGCTGTACTCAAGAAGCTTTCCCAAGATCAGATGCAGTATTACTACCTTGAGACCAGATTAATTAATTAATCGTCTCTCTATCCTTTCAGGTTTTTCAGAACTGGGAAGATAATTGTGACCATTCCAAACCCAGAACGTATTCCAATAAGACAGACATAGAACCTAAGGAATCGCAGTTCACTAATTTTACAACACGAAGTTTGAAGTTTGAAGCATTGAAGATTGGATGGTGACCCTTGATGGACAGCGCAAACACTGAATGGCGTTGTGGATGTAACACGTTCTTAAGTTTACCCGCCTTCCTGTATGTTCAGCTGAACTTTCCAAGGTATGTTAAACTGTTATTCTTAGCATACTGTCTTCTTTTTGTTCAAAGTGACTGTTGCATGTCACGTTAAGTAGGATTCATTGTTGCTTAAGATCAAGCATAGGTTCATTAACTGTAGCCACTATGCCTTACTTCAGAACTCGTATGCGTGATATTAGTAAGCAGTTCCTAACCCCATTTCAAATTAAGGAAACGGGATTCTGAGACTGATATTTGTTTGCCCTATAAGGGATTTTGGGCATATGCTATATGAAAAGAAATTATAAAGTACATAAATCTCGATATTCATCGAACTTGTGGTCGTTCTTTATCAGTTAGAAGCAAATTCGAAAGATGATTTGGTTCGCTTACGTAAAAATGATTGTAGCTACATGATATATTCACATGCGTTGACATATTACCGTCGGGCATACAGAAATCACAAAGATTAAATCAAAATGCTGGTCTATGACGCTTGAGTATTTTGTTGAAGTCAGGTGTAAATTATTACTCTGCATTTTATTCCTCCAAAATGAACCTTCAGAACACCAATGCAATTTTCCGAAACTATCACTAATGTGTGACATATGTCGCAGTATGCACCGTAGTGCATAGCCTTTGTTGAGCTCGTCTGTATTTTTTCCTACTAGGCTCTGATATTCTAAATTTAGTTAGGTTTCTACACCCTTCCAGAATATGTGACCTCAACTGGCTTCCGTAACCCACACTTGACTTGCCACTGCAAGGAATTTTGCAGAACGAACTATTTAGTCCAGTAGGTTTGAAACAACCTTGACAGTCGGTGTTTGTGCTTATCGATTCAAATACTACTTTGTCCTTGTTGCGAATCCTACATAGACTGTCTGTGCCCCCTTCGTTTGGTAAATATCGAGTTTTGAGTTCATTTTTTGTAGTTACTATTATCTGCATTACTCCTTGTGTCTATAGTGATAGTTCTGATCGCGTTTCACTTATTAATTTGACTTTGATATGCTTGTAGATAACTTTGCAGTGGTAACTGTTGAGGAATAATCTCAAACTTGGCACAATTCTCTCTACCTTCATTATCACTGTGAGCTCAGTGTGGAACCTATTTCCGACTGCCCCCAGGACCATATCAAGCGACACATTAGTCTAGACGTTTTACACTTCGAAAGAAATGCTTCTCAGCCGTGAATTCACGAGCTTACCTTCTTCCTACCATTATTTGTTTTGGTTGGCATCGACTTCTAGCACACTTGTCATTGATCAGGAACCTGATATTGCTCTGCCACTCGTTTGGATCGAAAAAACCATGTCGCAATTAGCTGCCAGTCTTATTGTTGTCTGAAGGTGCTACTCTTTCTGATGCATCTGACTGGAATCTGAACATGCTCTACTATGCGTCGTATCACTGTAAATTAGTACTAGGTCGTTAGGTCGTAGACTGGTTCACTCGAACGATAAAAATTGTGGTTCCTACGATTATTAAGGTGTTTAGAATGTGGTGGCCACTCCACAAACAACCACCTCTGTGTACATTGAGGTGATGAACTGATTTCTAAGCTTGCTTTTAATTTTCTATCTGAGACCACACCTAAACTAGAGATAATTGATGCTACTGACCCTGGTGCATATTCAATTGATATATGATACGCCACACACTTATCATGCCACTCGCCCACGGAAATCGAAATGGCGGTAAGGATTAACACCAAACATAGAACCTGTCATTTTGAAGTTAGGCTCCTACACACAAAACTCACTTCTCCGGAAGACGAGACTTAAGAAAAGTTAACTTCATCACCTTAACTTTGATGGACTTCAAGAAAGGTGAGAAGTCCTCTTGTGATAACCACAGAGGAATCAGCCTGACGAACATAGTATCCAAAATCCTAGGTTCTATAATTCTCCGACGCCTGAGTGGAGCTCGGGAACAGCAAGCCTGAGAAAACCAAGCAGGCTTTAGACCTAGCCGCGGGTTTATCGACCAAGTGTTCACACTGCGCCAGGTTCTGGATCACAGGCACACTTACCGGCGCTCAACACGCTGTATTTCTCGACCTGAAGGCGGCATCCGACTCCGTTGACCGAAACGTCTGGTGGCAACATCTCTCACTGAAAGGTGTGCCCAGTAAGTACATCACCTTATTGAAGGCTCTCCACTCGAACACTTGCGGGTGTGTTAGAGCCTATGGTGAGATGTCGGGTGAGCTGTACTCATCGAGTGGTGTCCCTTCAAGGGTGCCCACTCTCTCCATTCTTATTCAATTTTATCATAGATATTCTTATGGAGGTCTCCCTCTCGTCGCCTGATTACACAGGCGTTGACCTGATCGCGGGAGAATTTTCGTTAGACCTAGAATACGCAGATGACATAGTCCTGTTAGTTGAACACATTGACAAGATGTAGTCTTCTGGACACTGAGTGGCAGTTTGAGAATGTTTGGGATGCGTTTCTCACCATCCAAATGCAAACTGTTGCTCCACGATTGGTCTTCAACGGTGCTACGGTTAACAATGGAGAGTGTAGTGGTTGAGTGTGCTAGCCACTTCACTTAACTGGGAAGTGGGATCAGTCCTGGTGGCTAGCTCAGTGACCGATGAAATCTCTGCACGGATACAAAAGGCTCGATTGGCTTTCGCCAACTTACCTCACCTGTGGCGCCGCCGTGGTATCCGATTGTCTACTAAGGGTGGCGTATACAGCACAGCAGTCCGGTCTGTTCTACTGTATGGATGTGAAAAATGGCCATTGAAGGTGGAAGACATGAGAAGGCTTCATGTGTTTAACCATCGTTGCCTTAGTAGTATAGGCCGTATTCCGTGGTATCACCACATGAATAACGCAGACGTCAGGCTCAGGCGTAGAGTTTTAGGGAGAAGAGTTAAATCAGTAGACACGGTTGTAAAACTTCATCGACTGAGATGGCTGTCTGGGACATGTGTTACGTATGCCTAGTCACAAAATGTTGTCCTAAGTAGGTTCAGACTGGAAAAATGCCCACGGCGGCCAGACTAAAACATGGCATCAATGTGTGAAGTCGTTGACTATTGGTTTGGACTATGTAGGGTGATGTAGACTGGGTGGTTGGGGTCCGCGGGACAAGAGGAACCAGTGAGTGGTTGGAGACTCTAGGTGACGGCATAGCTCAGAACCGATGTCAGTGGCACAGATGTATACATACATTATCCTCATCTTAACGACACTATACCGAATCTCACCATTTTCTAATTCTTCCTTCCTCTCTTTCGTACTTTATATTTCTCTTGACTGAATTTTTTCATCTTCATCTTGCGCCTCACTGCCTTTTTACTTGATGTACTGGTATGAGGTGTGGCAACTGGGACCGTTATGTAGTAATGCCTGGTCCTATTTTGATAATGATTGATTGATTGATCTCTACATCCACCTGAAGAAAGTCCCATCTTCGCTGCCCCGCCTCTTTTGCCAACTTGTTAGTTTTCACCTGTAGACCTTCGAGTTTGTGCAGCAAGACATCAGACATAAATCATAATCGGTAAAATCCAAATCTTCTTCTGGGGTCTTTTCATCTGTGCAGCCAGCTTATGCTCATATTCTCGCTCCTCACAGTTTTTTACATGTTCCAGTCCAGTCGACCACAATCAGGAAGATGATCGGTGACAGTAGGTGGCAACCTTGTCTCACTCCTGTTTTCACTTCCAAGGCGTCACTGATTCTTCCATTGTTAATCATATGGGACGTAGTATCATATAGTATGTAGTTGTTGAATGATGTTGATAATGGTTAGTGGCACTAAAACTGTAGTGTTGAAACAGCTGCTAAATGACTTCTCGGTCGACGCTAACGAATGTCTTTTCAAAGTCGATGAGGTTGAGGTAAAGAGTTGACCGCCATTCTACGCTGTGTTATATGATGATGCATAGCGTGGCGTTGCGATTTGATCCGCACATGATTTGTTTTTCCCGAAGCTAGCAGTCTGTTTCAGTCGTAATTTTGAATGCAGAGCATTTTTTTAGTCTCTTCAGGATGATGCGGCATAATATTTTGCTTTGGGTGGGCAGGGGCATGATTCCTCGCCAGTTCTTGCAAATACTTAGATCTCCCTTTTTTGGCAGTGCGCTAATGAGGCAGCCCTTCTTCCAATCAGCAGGTACCTTTTCTTCCTTCCAAACCGTCTGCAATAGTGGTATGATCATGTCCGCTGATGTCTCTGAGTCTGTTTTCAGTGCTTCTGGCGGAATGTCATCTGGTCCTGCTACTTTCCTTGCTTTCAGTAACTTTATGGCTTTCAGGGTTTCATTTCCAATTTTGTCAGAGGGTTTGTGTACACTGATAGTTTTGTGGCCGGGCTTCTGGTGGTATCTCTGGACGAGTTGCAGGCGACGGTTTTTGAAGTGGTCAGCCCATCCTTTTCTTTGTTTTCCCCCTTTGTTAACTAAGTTTCCTTCACTATCTTTTATTGGTTTCATCTGTGTTGATCTCTTCCCATATGGTAACCTGGTTATTTGATATAATGTCAGGTCTCATTTACCTGCAGCCTGTTTTGCTTCATTTGAAAGTGTGTCGTAGAAGTGTCTTTTGTCTTTGCACGCACTCTTTCACTTCTTTTATCCAGTGTAGTGTTTTATAGGTTGTGTTCGGTTCCTCTTTTCGTTGTTTATCGCTGCACTGCACTGGTTCATCTTTTGCTTCACCACCTTCGTCTCCTCTATCAGCTTCCATGTGTCCGTCGAGATCCATTCCCTGTCTTGCCGCTTCTTCGTCCTTCCTAACACGGTTATGCAGGTTTCCTACCACGTCGCTTTCACAGAGTTCCAGTGTTCTTCCACGCAGGTTTCCTCAGGGGTGTTGCTTAGTGTCTCCCATTTTTTCCTGATGGCTGATGTGAAGATGTTCCTTATAGTTTCGTCCTTCAGTTAGTTTCTTGGTGTCTGATTTGAACTGTGGTCTATCACTAACTTCTTTGAAGGCTTTCAACATGATTTTGACGGTTCCTTGCATTAGATAATGAGTGGTGTGAATCTACATCTGCTCCCCTTCTTGATCTTGTGTCCAG